GGGGGGGGGGGGGGGGGATTCCACCCCACGCTTTCTTTCACCAAAACCCTTGACAGGATCAGAAGATATACAAGATCAGTTTCATTCGCTCAACTTTATTCAACCAAAATTCAATGTGCTAGAAAATACACAGAACTTCATGTTGACAAGCTAACATTTTTATGAAGTCTTGAAGCTGAAAGAAAGGGGGGGGGGAGAGAATAGAATCGCACCACCAACCAGTTGGTCCCACAGCAGTAATCACGTATAAAGAGTTAACAAATCAATGTCATGTTCCCCAATATGATTGGGGGGAAAAAACTGATTAAATTAATTATGGCTGCAATCTTGTGCACATCTATTTAGAATTAACTCCCACTGTTTAAAGTGAAACTTGCTTCTGAGTAAACATGCACAGGATTGTGTTGTAAATAGTATAGGATCATAGCTACATTGTATCTCAGTCTAGTTTATTTTTGTAAAAAAAAAAAAAAAAGCTTTGCCTTTACAATCTTCTGTTAGTCTTAAACGGTATCTTATACAATATATTTATAAATTAAGCATCACAGCATTTATTGCTACCACGCAGGAAAATAAAATAATTTAGGATACTGGAAACAAAGACAGTTTTGGGTTCTTATACTATATACTATACTTATCACATAATGAGCACATTCAGATGTCATCCTTAACCAAACATTATATGCACAAGCAGCATCTTACAGGCTCCCTCCTGCCTTTGCATTGCAACAAACCATCATCTATCCATAATCCAGGATTAAACTCTAATTTGGGGTGATAAGAACAAACTATGGAATCCAGTTAGAAACTGGGCTACAGAAGGCGGCCTGAAATTCAACTGAATGTAATCATTACATGTTTTCAAAAACACAATATTCTGGAAGAGCTACTGGCAAACTGCCCCTTTACATTACCCCAAATCTGTTAATTCAGTTATATTCCAAATGTGGATCGTTATTTTTTTTTATTTTTCAGTGCCTTCAAATCAGTCTTGACTCCTACACATAAACAGGAAACAAGCCCATTAAAATAGTGGACATGTGCAATTGTTTGATTGAAAAGGTAAATAATATAATATCCTAAGTCTTCAGTGTACAAATAGTGCAAAAAATAAAACAATTCCCTTTTCACTGCTTAATCATGCAGTGCTATTTAGGATCTATGAAATATATATAATAGTATCTGGCTGAAGCTAGTTAAATACAAAATGAAATCCAGTTAACCTGTCTGAGCTTTATTTAAGCCAATTTATACCCAAATTCAAATAAAGTTAGCAGCTAATTCATAATACTAGGACAGAGAAACTAGCTCCATTTACACATGCTGCATAAATACAGCGCTTAGTTCTGAAAACATTTTAAATACAGTAGTGCTTTGTGATTTAACTTCTGGACATAAGCTCGTCCAATAAGCTAGCTGCTTGCAAACTCCTCGGCTACTGAACATTCCAAAGTTTGAAACATCAAAGGAGTTGGGTTTATCATTGATTTCTGGATTGGAAAAAACCCAGGCAGCCACTAGATGGCAGTTGAGACGCACAGAAAACTCTGGAGTTTTGCACCCCGGTTGTTATGCCTAGTGAACCACAACAGCAACTGAAAAGTTAGGAGGAAATAGCGCATCCATGCCCATTAAGTTGGCATCATACTGATTTACTTTAAAATACCGGGGGGGGGGGGGTTCTGCTGCAGCAGCTTCCAAGGAAGAAAATCTGCAATGTATTTGGGAGCATATATTGAGCAGCGACATAAAAAGTCTTTTGCATTTGCTTTTAGGTTTTGCATCTCTAAACCAGGTTTATGGAAGATCATCTCACAGCCAAATGAGCCACCTTTTGGATGAGAGATTGCACAACAGCTTCGGTGAATGGTATTTGAAAAAAGATCAGCTCTCAAAGCCATCTTGGAAAGAAGCTTTACTTCTAAACTTGCCTTCTGCATTTAGCTCCAGAGCATGTTTCATTAATACAGAGAACCAGAGAGAAAAGTAAAACAATCCTGATGCACAAGATGAAGCACAATATACCCTAACATTTTTTTAAAAAGTGAATAGGTAAACATGTGGGCACGTCTGTGTGTGTCTCAGTTCAGAATGTTATTAGTCACAGAGGTAACAGTGCACTGTTAATTAACATTGAGCAGGATTGTGTCCTTTCCATAAGCCATCATAAATAAATGGCTGGTGAAAATTGGGCCCATGGTGTAAGGATTAGACACTAATCATAATTGCCACCAACATCAAAAGAGATCCAAGAACTCATTAAGAATTATCTTACAAAAATAATTACATTTAAATTTGCCAGCTCTAAAGCTATATTTTCAAGCCCTATAAAAAGGCAATCTTTGAAAGGCTGTGGCTCAGAATTGGCATGGTGCAAATGAAAGTTATTTCAAAAGCGCTTTGAAAGGGCTATTGCAGCTGGTTGTTGTGTCACAATTATTAATATTGCATAGCTGAGAAATGAGGTCACTTGACTTGCATTAACCCTGCAAGTTTACCCACAGAAAGAGTGACACATACCATTTGCTGGTGTTAAGTGGCTCTTAGCTGAAACCAATGCCATTTATGAACAACCAGCACACTAGTTTGTAATTTTCCCCCCAGCTGTCATATGGGAACATAGGTGCCACTTTATAGCACAGCTAGACAGCAAAATACATTGCCTATCAGTGGTGGAATATAAGTAGCTTGTAGCTTTGATAAAAAGTTGGATTTCAATGCATATACATTTGTGAAAAATACTTGCATCATCAAATGAGGTAAATATAGCCTTACTACTTTAGGAATTCCAAAATTAGCATCATAGAGCAAAAACAATGGAAAAAAAAATCTCAGTTGTATTTCAATGACTTGAATGGTCTACATGCTGTAGTCTTCACCATGGGGATTACAGGAAGCATTTTCCACCTGTTGAGTGATTCATATCTGCTACAGGCAAGATTAACAGAATCCTACCCAGACGTATGCCCCAATGAGCACAACAGGATTTATTGTCTGACGAGGAGGAATATTCAAGGCAAGAACCCTAGAGATTTTTGAGCAAAAACCAGTGGTGTCCAGTAGACCTTCCAGGAAGGTTTGTGTAGGTGGTGGTGAGAAAACAGGATGTTTAAATCCTGTTCCACAAGTGACCATCTATTTGTTTATAAAACATTGAATGTTGTCCACTGCCATCACATGCAAAGTCCTGGTTCACATATAACTTTCAGACAAGATGTGATTTGTTTGCTTTTGGCTAAATAAAAATGTCAACTCAACCCATTATTGCTTAGCATTAACATCCAAGCCAGGCCACTCTTCCTGGCTATGCCCTGTCAAAATCTCCACAGCATTCCCAAATCTTCCTCGGAAGGACTGGAGATTTGCCATAGGAGGTCAGTATTCAATGTCTCTGGATGGAACTCCTATGTGGAGAAAAGGAAGCTGTATGTCATTGACCCTCACACTCTGTACAGAAATGCAACTGATAAAACGGTTCTTCTCCAGCCCACCTTTAGAAACAATTCCTTAGTGACAGGTTACCTTGGTAGAAAGGAAGAAACACACATGAAGAAAATGCTATATTCTACCTTAAGGTGTGGGTTGAACTGGCAATAATCAGGTTCTGCTCAAGGTTTAAACAGCAGCTAGGATTGCTCTATGTGCATTCTTACCCTTTGATACTGTCCCATTTCTGCCAGTATGCAAAAAGGAACTGCAAGATGTAGAGGGTGTTTTTTAAAGAATAAAGGGAAGAAGTCCTTTATAGGAAATAATCCAGTCTTGCCTTTAAAAACACTTACTGAAAATTATGTTCAATTGCATTTTCTGCTTCACTGCTAATGTTTCACAGTTGCTTTAAGTGACAGAAAAGCTAATGACAAATGAGTTAAGTGCTTTCCTTAAAAATCAAAATAAAACAGAAAAGACGACGATAGTGGAGAACAGGAAAATATGTGTTTTTGGGGGAATGTTAGCTATGACAGAAAAGTTGTAAGGATATAAGAACGTATTTCTAACAACAAAATTATTTTTCATGTGATGATAGTTTTGATTAAGAAAACAGCTAGAAGAGAATCAGATACAGATCAAGTCATGTAGTTGGATGATTTTCCCTACTCTGAGAAGTCACTTACCTTTCCTTTTTAGAGTAAATTAACTCCAAATGACTTTTTTACACATAGAACAATGAAAGTATGGATAACATTTAAAAGGATAGCTCTAGCTGGAAGAATTAAACAATGATGGGGTGGAAGACACTTAAAAGTTTTAAATATCTTGGGCAACTGATGGTGAATGGCCAGATGCATGAGAGGTATATGCAGGAATCCAGTTCTTCAAATCAAAGCTTAGCTGGGATTTGCTAGATGATTTTTCCAGTCTTCTTGACATCCCACCTGCTCTTCTGAAGATCCATTTCCACAGAAAGCCTTGCCCAAAATTCCCTTAGCCCTTCTACTTGGCAGTACCTTATCATCCAGGCATGCTACTGCTCCTGTTCCTGAAGTGGCTTATGGTCCCACCTGAAAACCCCAAACCATCACAAAGTTCCAAGGTTCTCTGGAATTTGGTGGCGTATTTTCCATCATGCTACAAGATGAAACGATATCATAATACCAAAAACAGACTGCAGGTCCAGCTTGCATTTTCTGATTGGTTTTTCAGTTGTTGCCACAAAAGTATTATATTCCCCCACCACTCCACTGAAAAGTCAAACTTGAGGAAAAGTGTCTGTTCAAAAAGCAGTAGGTCCCTCGAGAACACTGCATTTCAAAGGTGTTACTGGTATTTGGGTATTTGAACCTCAGAGAAAGACACTACTTGGCTCATCAAACCAATTTGATGAATGTGGGTTTTTGCCTCAAGAGAAAGTCATACAGTGGATACTTCCAGCACCCAAAATTATACATTTACAGTTAGTCAAGTAGGATATGTACACAGAATGGATACAATACAGCAAATAAACTTCTGGCCTGCTTCCCGGACAGTTTTTTATGGGTATTTTGAAATTTCTAGTGTCTGTAGGTTTAATTAAGTACTTATTATAAGCAAGTAAAAAATTATGTCTAATACTTATTCACTGTCAGTAGCAAAGTACTCTAAAAAAGTTTCTCCCAGTCACATGCTGTAGAGAAACATTTCCTCTCTCTTGAGAAATTCACTTCAATCTCAATCCTGGCTGTACATAAAACAGCTCACACAAAGACAGGACAGAACACCCACAAAATAAGCAACACCTTATTTCTGGAATTTGTTCCCAGCAGTGGCATGTTCACATTGCTGCTCTGCCCATTGTTGAGCAGAAGGTGATGCTCTTAGTATATGCTTGTCAGGCTAGAGGTGCAGTGTTAGTATGGCAATTAAGAGTCCCCCATCGGTATCTTCCAAAACACATCAAGCTAGACAGACATCTTTTCTTGCTTTGCATTCACGCAAATGGGTGTCACAACGGTTTATGGATCACAGCTACACCTACAAGGGAGAAAAGTAAATGGACATTCAATGCATTCCATTCAAGTTGATTTAGAGATTAATTTTCACCTAAAATAGTGAACAGACATGCTCAAGATCTTGAGTCTTAAACTACTGACTCCTTCACAAATGAAGTCTCTTTGCTTATCATCGTCACACAGCAGACAGATTCCAACAGACCTATTATTTTGCCACATGTGTATCACTGATGGGAGCTATTATTGAGTGAAAGCATAATATTGTTCCCTGTCCTGAAGCAATTAGCAAAAAATGTCACAGATTTTAAGTTAATCACTTGTTTTCAAGTAGTAAAATTACTAGAAAGTCTATGAGAAATTGCTAACTCACTTCCTTCAAGGAATACATTGTTTTGTTATAAAATGGTAAGCGTAAAACAATGAAAATGACCATACAGAAATCATTAATAGCGTAAGTAAAAATACTGATTGTGTTAAAGGGGAGACCCAAGAGAATGTACGATGAATTCTGGGTAACTGATAACCAAAAAACCCCTCTGATGAGCAAACAGGTTTGGATATTATCTGAAATGAGAATGATGGAATAAAACCCACAGCACAAGATTGTTATATGAAGGACAGAGTTGTAGATCTTTAGTTAAAAGTATACAGAGCTTCCACTCATCACTTGGTGAACAAAATTACTGTGTAATATGTTAAAGATTCTACACTAATTTGCTTGAGTCAGATTTAATTAGTCCGAAGACTAATATCTGAATATGTTTCAGAGACATTTTAGGAATTTAGATTGTGAGCCACAATTTAAAGGACAAAAATTAATACTAGCAGTGAAGCAATGTTTTCAAAAAGTAAAAATATAAGCTGATTTGGAATGAACCATAGTTCATCTCGAAGCTCAAACCAAGCTGCATCAGGTAATTGGATACAAATATTTGGGACTTAGAAATGAGAGTTCTGTACTTTTCCTTAAGTTTTATAGACTCCACTATCAAGGAGGGCTGAGAAAATACTACCTCCTCACAAATGGTTGAGAGGCTGAAATCTGAAACAGTCTCCGCTGCCAAGAAAAAATACGTTATGTTTTAATTGACAATTTGTATTTTTGAATAAAAATAGAAAAACGATCTAAACATTCCTGCTAGTGACAGACCTGAATGGTGAGCTAAATGATGCCAGACATACTTCTTATTGTGTCTAATGACACAGAGCAGGTGAGATATTTTAAATATCTTGAGAGACCTTTTTCAAGCCTCTACAATGAATTACGCCTTCTCCATGACCCCAAAAGCACCCCAGCAATTTTAATGCAGGGGAAGAATTTTATTCCAGCTGCCATCATGCAATTACTGCATTGGGTGCAATTAGACCTTTATTTTAACTTCATCCCCCTTGAAAATACAGGCAATCTTTTTTAAGGTCTCTCTTTTTTTAGGCCTTTATTCTAACGTCATCCTCTTTGAAAAAGTACAGTCTTTTTTAAGATGTCTTTTTTTTTTTTTTACTTCTAGATGTGTCCGTAATGCACTCTGAGACGAGAAAATGGGCTGCTGAGAGTCAAAACTATAGTCATTTTATTTAGTAGGCTTCAACTGGGCTGTTCTCCTTAATATTACTGTGGTGGTGGTAGAATGGCAATATGACCCATGTGCTCTAATAGGGTCTCTCGCATAAGGATCATATAGGACTTGAAAGGGCAAAAGATAATTTACTTATCCTAAGTATTTTCTATAGCCTGCCTTCATGGTTTCCCCTTAACATTTTGAGAGGTGGAATCTCCAAGGTTCTGCCCATATGAACTAGGTGAGACTGAGAAAATGCTGCCACACTGTGAGTTTATTCTGGCTCTTACTAAAGGTTACTTCAACCTTTCTTAAAACATATTTCAGCTACCCAGGACAATTTTATATTCGATATGTCTGTTGGTAGAGATTACATAGCTACATATTTTGTTGCAAAATATTTTGCAGCTACAAGGATTTGTCACATTCTTGTAGCCCCTCTAGGATTGATTTGGGTTAATTTTTTAAAGGCTAAATATACTGATTTCTTATTATTTTATTTTGTTACCATCATTTTATCCATTCACATCTGTTTTATACTGATTGAATTTTTAGTTTGTGTTTGGCCCAAGCCTGCAATAATCTACGTATGTCGGTCTGCACGCAGGCATGTTTGTGTTTTCATGGATTGGTTGGTTTGTTCATTGGTTTAAATAAGCTTTTCAAAGCTGTAAAAAGGTAAGATGCCAATGGCATAATGTTAAATCATCAATGGGTAACTCTAATGAAGACACAAATTCTTATCAAAGATCTGGGATCCTGTCTGGCTCAGTCAGGAAAAATGATCAGCAGTCCTCAACAAAAGCCACAGCAGGAAGTTGAACAACATATCATCAACTTGTCTATCATTCTGTTCCTATCTAAGCCAATACACTGCTTACCTGCATAACTTCTTCCAGTGCTCATGTTGCTCGGTAATAAGGTCCACTTGTCAGTGACAGGATTATAGTATTCTACAGAGGCCAAATTGCAAGACCCATCATCTCCCCCAACTACATAGAGAAGTCCATTCACTGCACACACACCTATAGAGAGAACAGAAACAGTAGGCCTAAAGTTATAATTTTTATTGGCTGCTGTTATGGCAAGACAGAAGGCCAAATTTAACATTAATTTTTATTATTAACACTTGTTATTTCATGATTTACTGAAATCACACAATTTTAATCAGTCATACTAGTGTTTCTGTTTGCACTTTTTTTTGCTGTTTTTCTAACCATTAAGAAAACATTATTTGTGAAAAGCCAGACAACCCCCATGCATAAAAAAAATGATGAATAGATAACTAATAATTGTGTTTGTGATACATAATAAAAATGAAAAATAATAATAATGAAAAATGGATCTAAGAATTCTTGTTAGCTATGAGTTCTCAACAGCAATCCATGTAATTCTACACATGTATAAGTGGAAAACTGAAATAAAATAACAAATTATTAGCAAAAGCCTATATATTTTTTCTATATTTTTTTCCTCTTTTAATTGTAAATTGCCCAGAGTTATTAAGGAATTGGGCAGCCTTGAAATTGAATTAAATAAATAAAGAATGAAGCAACCCGTGTTACTCATTTATTAAGCATGGCATCCATTCTGCAATAAATATGAATTGAACTATCTCCCATTTAATTAATTAAAAATGAGCAAGTATACCCTGTTTAAAATGCTTGTCCTGGGGCCTAGCAAATGATGAGATTTACAGGACACAAATGTTTCAAATTTCAGATACCCAGAAACCCTTTAAAATACATTAATTCTTGTGGTTTTATGCCTTCTCTCATCAAACTCTGTTCCATGCACTATTATATTACATTTTATAAATTCCCAAATTTTATCACTATTTATGTTGTACCTCTTGTATACTATCCTAACATTTATAAAAGGCAAATGTGATTTTAAAATATTTTAATATTCCCTCTCTCTCCTGTCTCTCTCTCTCATTATTTAAATATATTTCTTTACATATCCAAGATATAGAAACATGTAATTAAAAAGAACATTAAATGCCCTGCAAATCATGCCCCTTGTTGGATTCCTGACATTTTGGCTGCCCACTAAGTTACAGATGCATAGAAGACTTCCTTATTTGACACTGTTTCTACAAATATTTTCAAATCTGCTGGACTTAAAGCATGTAGACTTAAATAAATATTAATTTAAAAATAAAACATCATTACCTTTTTATTGCTAAAGTAACTACAAGTGTTGTGGTGCTTTAAAGACTCACACATTTATTATTGTATATCCTTGGTGTTGATATTTCCCTTAACTGCTTTGTTTATATCTGAACAGTGATATTTATTTATTTATTTATTTATTTATTTATTTATTTATTTATTTATCAAGCTTATCCCTGCCCATCTCCCCCCAATGGGGGACTCTGGGCGGTTTACAACAGATTAAAACAATAAATAAATACATAGTTAAAATTTATTTAAAAAAACACATTTACACAGAGTAGAAGGAAGAGGAAATAGGATATAGAAATGTTTGGGGAAAATACCTGCATTTCTTCTACACATATTCATATCTGCTACTTGTTTCCATGTATTTGTTCCGGGATCATATACTTCCACACTTTTCCTCACCAAAGGACCATCATGACCTCCAGTAGCAAACAGCTGGCCACTAAGAACACCAACACCTGAAAAGCCAAACAGGGAGTCTCAGGATCTATTGTAAATCAACTTCTGGATATGGATGATAAATGCTGCACCAAGATCATACCCTTGAAAGAGCACTAAACAGCACAGTATCCACTGTGGTAGCTATTACAGACAACTAACAATCTGTAATGGGTAGAAGGAATAAACTTGAGGACAGGAGGAAGAGCCACAGCCAAGACAATAGTCAGATAAAAGAAATCTGAGTCCAGGGAAGAAATGTAATTTGAGAAAGCATCTCAGACTGAACCCTCCCTAGTTCTCACAAAGATAAAGGGAGGCGGGGGGAAGCATATTCAGGCTTGCAAGATTCTGTCACTGTAACCTTATAATATATAGTATTAGCATTCATAACTTTGGTTTCCTAGACTGGTCCACCTTGAAGGGCTGACAGAATTGGCCTAGAATGGGGAGAAAATCTAAGGCTACCTAACATCCCTTTCCAGCCCCTAGGAATGGACATTTCAGGGCTCTTTTTTCTTCCTTTCTTTTGGGGGCATTTTAGGGATTTGGGAGGGTGAGGTAGGAGCTCTAACCCTTGCCCAAACCCACCCTAAAGTGGGCCAATGTTTCCCATCTGGGAGGAAGTGAGGGGCAAAACAGCATGGCTACCTGTCTTTTTTTTTTTTTAACCATTAAGAGTCGCGATGTTATAGCTAGTAAAAGCTGTGCTTTCCACTGTGGCCAACTAGAGATTTCCCCTTAGTAGTCCATTTCACTAGGTACACCATTGAAAGTCAAGGTAATAAACAAAAATCAATTACATAGAGACAGCCTTAGCCATGAGGCAAATACACAGTCACTTCTATGTTCTAATCACGTTCGTGACATCTGTAAGGGCTTTTGTGAAAAGGAACTGCTGAAGCTATAAATATTCCGTGTCCAATTACCTCCTTTGGATATGTCAGTCTTGGCTACTACCTGAACCTAATACTAGCTAGACTGAATTGTTACATCTGAAGCAGACTTCAACTTAGCCCTCAATAATCATGACAAATGCATAAGGAACTAAGTCCATTTAACATCCCAACTTGCTAGTCAATGTTATATTCAACTTTTTCTTTAGATAGTGCATATTTATCTACTCCAGCCCAATATGAAGCTATCTGCTTTGGCCTGAATGCCTACCAGCCATAAGGAGACTGGCACAAAGAACTGGGAAAAAAAACAAAAGGAAAGGAAATATTTGCTTATGTTGCAGAAATCTAACACTTTAAATAAATTTAGGGTCTGTCCTAGGAGGAGGATAACTTGGGATAAAATACCTGCACCACTGCGCCGAGTACTCATATCTGAAACATAAGACCATTCATTTGTAGCTGGATTATACTGCTCCACAGTACTAAGGCACTGACGTGATGCTCCATCATAGCCACCAACAGCATACAGTTTACCTAGAATGTGCAGCATCAGCCATCAACAGGATTAATTAGAGGAAAATATATAGTGAATATTTTACAACCAGTTTTTCATCACTGCTGATCTGATTATCACATAATAGACATAATCTTGTTGAAGATCTACAAGCTTGGTGGCAGTAATTATAATATGCTTCAATTAACTTTTATTGGGCATTTCTAATGACAGATCAAGGCAATGAGAAAGTCTTGCAAAGCAAGAAGCTTTTTAAAAGCTCCAGCTACAAGCAGCAATCATTTCAGGTTTTTCCCTTATTATAAAATGGAATGGAAGTGTATTAGTTACTGACACTTTTTAAAACCATGTTGCCGATTGCCGGAACTCCAAGGACCTGTTTTAAGTCCCCCTCGTTCAGCGCCATCATAACTTTGAATCATTGCCGAACAAATGGTCATAAGTTGGGGATTACCTGTACATGACACATATTGGCCAGTTCAGGAATTCTTTCCTCTACCAATTTTCTTTCCAGACCAGGGGGTAAAATATATACAACACTCTCAATAAGAAAAATACATGGAAAATGTAACCAACTAAGCCTCAGTCACAGCTGTACTTATAGAACACCAAAGATGTATTTACAGAAAAACATCTAGGGTCACCTGACCCGTTTAACTGGCTGAATGTGATATCGTAATGTTTGTAGTTGCAGTGTTGCAATACTGTACATAAAATGTGAGTGACTTCAGAACAGAAAATTCTTACCCTCTACAACTCCAACTCCAACACTGCTTCTTCTTGTGTTCATAGGTGCCACAAAAAACCATTCATTGATCTTATAATTATAAGCCTCCACAGATGCCAGGCCTAGTTTGAAAACATGAAAAGGGGGGTTTACTCCCATAATACAGGGTTTTCCTATCACAGAAGTCATCTTACAACAATTATTTCCCTTCGGGCAAAAAGGGTATGGAAGCAAGCCAGAGCTCCTTTGATAATCAGGAAGCTTCTTTTCCAGGCATGAAAGCTTTCCTTACCCATTGCAATAGTCACGCGCTTGCAATAAGACACGACCCCTGAGAATAATATCCCAGTTCTGATTATTGATCAATGCTTCACAGTGCATTCTAAAAACACTACTTAACACTGAAGAGACATTCAAAGAGGGGTTCTGTAGAATCTTATTCACTACGTTCTTGTGGCAATTTGAAGCAAAGTGTTTTCTTAAGTAAACATTTAGGTTTTTCTTCCAAGGGGCAAACCAAAATGAACCATCCTTAAAAATTAACCCACCCCAATAAGCTTCAGTGCCATCCATTTCCCCAAGAGATCATTATTGAAATAAGTGGGGGCATAACACAAGTAGGTATAGAATGTCAACGGCTGTATTTATGAACAGAGGGACACTTATTCCAGAAGGAAGTCTTAAGAATAAGGATTTGAATATTCTCCCATTGGTGCTGGCCTTTGGGCAACAACCTACCAGTGCTTCCATCAAATCCACCAACAGCATACAGGAGCTCATTGAGCACGGCAGCCCCTAAAGTGCTTCGTCTTTCTTGCATACTAGCTATAGATGTCCATTGATCTTTCACGGCATCATACACATCAACTGTTCGAACTCGCAAGGAGCCATTGAAACCTCCCACTGCATAGACCTTGCCTGCCATGAATACCACCCCTGTAAAAATAAATTGGAAAAGAGCAGAACTTTAAGCAAATCATAATTCTGCCTACCACAAAATTCCTATCCCAGCTTCTCATATTAAGGAAGCCACAAAAGGTTCATTAAAAAAAAAAAAAAATCACAGGAAGGTGTGAATTACCATGTTAACCTTTGTGTTAGCAATTTCTGGCAGTTTTTAGCATTGACATGATTATATTCACTTGGTATAATCCACCAGTCAACAGAAACATTTGGTAACAACCAGTATGAGTTATTTTTATATATTACACAAATAAAAAGCTGGACTGGACACCAAGTACACCCAACTAGCACCTGCAGTTCCTGATGAATTTTCCTTGGATAATGCACAAGTGTCTGCAATTGCATATTTGTTGATTACACTCAACAAGATTTTAGTGCAGTACATTAAATGGCTTTTAGCAGCTGCTGAAATGTATTTAGAGAACCTGTTAGCAGAAGCTAATTCAATTCTAATTATCATTGATGTTCATTGCAGCAGTTCCCAAAATTGGGAGGCCAGCAAGCACATTTGGAATTTGGAAAGCATATCATGGGTATTCTCACCAAATGGGTGATATGAGGGCTAGTTCAGAATGCAGCGGTGTGTATAATTTGGGGCATACCACAGGGGTATGTGGGTATATTCACATAAGGCCACTGCTATATGAGCTGCACTGGTTCCCAAGTGCCATTCAAAGCACTGGTTTTCACCTTAAAAGCCCTGCATGGCAAAGGGCCAGATTACTTGCAAGACTGCCTGTTTCCACTAGTTTATGCCCATCCCATCAGACCTGGCAGGGTCTGTGTCCCTTCAATGAAACAATGTCATCTAGTGGGACCCAGGTGGCTTGCCTTCCCTGTTGCAGCACCTGCCCTATGGAACCGCCTCCCCCCAAGACCTGAATGGTCTTGAAGATCTAGCTTTCCTTCAGGCACTGAGGCCAGGATGACAGTGAAGCCTGGTATGTGTGTGTTGTTCTGTGCGATGAGACATGAGAAGCCTTGGTTATTTTTAATTATGTATTGCCTTATGACTTTTATACTGTGTGATTTATGCACTTGTTTTGTTAGCTGCTCGGAGTTACTAGGTTAAGTTGAGCGACCATATACGTACATTCTTTGAATAAATAGATGAACCACTGGGCTTCAGCCAACTACTAGTTTTATTTTTTAAGAATGGGTCTGGAGCCTGAGTGGTTTGCTGCTTGACATCTTTTTGTAAAATGAACCTGTGTGATAAGAAGCCCAGGGGACGTTGAAGAAGTGCCCATGGGGACTGCATTTGGGACCTTGGCTTTACTGCTTTGTTCTGTTCAGCATCATTCAGCAAGCTAGTGAGCTGTAGGTACTCTATTTGCTAATAACTCCAAGCTGGTGGAATGCAGGTAATAGCGTACTGGCTTGCAAGGTGGTCTCTAGAGTAGAGATCCCAGTTTGCAAAGAATAAGATTAGCCTGCTTGGGGTAAAACTGAGCTTTGGCTGCCCTTGTGGAATACTGCCCCAAATGTAACCAAATTGACCAGTACTATCCTTACCATTAGTAGGGAATGTGGCATGGGCATAAGTAGGAATATGACTAGGAACATAAGTCTATTTATTCTCTAAGTACAAACTATTAAGTAGAAGCTTCAACTAACCAAAAATAGGATGGACAGCTGTTATCAATATTCATGGGCCCAGATGACCATGGCATATGGAAGACTGCAACTTGGAAATATATATAGTAAACAGCATGAATTAAGATACTAAATGAATGAAAAAAAAATGATAAATTGTGTGTCTATCAAAAAAAAAGGGGAAGGATATAATAGATCTAAGTAAAAACGGTCTGATCTTGTAGAGTAGAGCTGATGAATACAGGAGAGAAGTTAAAAGCCTAAAATGTATATTAGAAAGCTGAGTTAGTGTCATCTAGATTATTATGGATATATATGAAAACATTCAATAATACACTGGTATGGTTGCATGTTACACTTCAGTAAACAATGACACTGAAATAACCAGGGATGCGTTTAGGAAAATTGTGCAGCATTCTAAATGAATTTGATCTGAAAGAAAAAGTTATTCTGTTAGGTGATATGAATAGGTGAGCAAGAATGAGAAAAGAGAGCGCAGAAAAAGTAAATTCAGGCCTTTCAGAAACCAATGGTGATTGTTCACTTAAAAAAAAGTCTCTTGAATTTATGCAGTTCAGGCATAAATATATGACTTAAACATATGCTTAAGAATAAGTATAAAGCATAGGTTCTTGTTTACTCTTGGCAAAAGAATGAACCTAAAAGCATAATTGATTGTTTATAATGAAGGATTTAGAGAATTAGTGAAGGATATAAGATATGAGATGTTCCAAATGTAACACAGACCATTTTGGTGGTGTCAAGAATCATAGAGAAAAATGGGCAAGGAAGAAAAGGCAAGATGTGAAAAGTTAGAAAAGTTAGAATGAATGAAGAACAGCTCCTTGAAGATAAAGTATGAGTCCTATATGAAAAAAAAAAAAAACATTGAAGATAAAGTATGAGTCCTATATGAAAAAAAAAAAAAACATTGAAGATAAAGTATGAGTCCTATATGAAAAAAAAAAAAAACATTGAAGATAAAGTATGAGTCCTATATGAAAAAAAAAAAACTATTCAAGATATATTAATTTCCCATCAGAAGGGAAAATTATCAAAAGTAAATGCAAAAACTGCTGGGGAATGATTTTGTTATGTGCACCTGGAAAGGTATTTGATAGGATTCAAAAGGGTATGAGAGGCAACAATGAACAAAATTTGATAAGCATAGCACAACTTTTGCTGGACAGACAGTATACAGAATGTTTATTGAAGGTCTGTGGAGTTAGAGAGTGTGTAACAAACTGAATTGGGTTGAATGATAGGTTGTTTTGTGCAAATAAGGAGTCTGGTTGCTGAATGTGGTAAGAATCGTATCTGACAGTAACGCATGCATGAGAATAAATATGGTTAAACACTGGGGTGGGATTTATAGATAAATGTGTAAGGAATGCTTCCAGTGATGTCAGAGGTATTCTAATTGGGGATGTGAATGTGTGCGCGCTTTTGTATAAAGATGATGCTGTGTTGCTGGCTGAGAACCAAATTATTTGCAGTGAATGATATATAAATGGTAGGTTGTAATCAGGAGTATGAATCTCAGAATTAAGATACTGAATGTTTAGATAGTTGTGTTCAACAGAGAACATGAAGTCAAAAATCAAAACATTACAGCAAGTAGATGAATCTGTGTACCCTGCTTGCTAATGATGGGGAAATGGATAACAGACATTTTAAGATGTGTAAATGCTAGTGAAAAGACAGTAGGTAGGATGCAGATTGTTGAAAGAAGCAACAATTGCTGTGTGTAAGAGCGAACTCTGACCATTTTATTATAGAAACAATAGCTAGATATATCAACACAGAAGGAAGGTGAATGCACCAATAATTGGTTATTTAAGACGTATGTGTCTAAAACAGGAAGAATGATTCAGTGAATCAATATTGATTGAATGTGGACTAAATAGTGACCACCATAAATGAAGTATGTTGAACTGGTTCAGTCATACAGAAAAAATGAATGAGGACTGAGTTGCAAACCAAATCTGTGAAGGATGAATGGGTTCAGAAGATGGAGAAGACTACGAAAATTGTGGTTGAATAAGATCCTCAAAAAAGAGAGGTGAGAAGTTTAAAGAACAGAAAGAAATGAATGAATCAGGGTATAGGCATGATAGAAACAAGAACAGTTTGCTAGGATAGAAAAGAGGGGCAGAGCAAATAGTGCTGATGAAAACTAGAACTGTTTAGATTTTGTTCTGTTTCTCTTCTGTGTCCAGTTTCTTTTCTTACAAAATCTTACTTTCTGTACTTTGCATAATATTGCTTACCCTGAAAAGGAGTAGGGTGGTGGGTATGTTACATACCTACTTATAGGTGACAGAATATATAAACAATACAACAAATAATATTTGAATGATGATTGAGACCGTTATAATGAGCAAAACTTACCTGCTCTACATCTCCGAGAAGGAAGTTCAGCAATCTGATCCCATCGCTCCTCCTCAAAGTCATAACACTCTACACTTCGAATGGCTTTTGGTGCCTGCCCACCCACTACAATCATTATCTTGGTGAGAAAGGAAAAGTAATTATTGCATAAAGAAATCCCATATGATCATAGTCTTTTCAATTGAAATAGACATTCGGAAAATATAATTCTTAAACTGCTTTGTCTTCCAAAATAGCTGGGTGCATGAAACAGAATAAGAAATTGCTCAAGAAAAAAAGTTTAATAATAAAAGCATGGGAATTTGACATCTGCATGATATTAAAATTAAAAGTACAGCCAGAAAGTTGTTGCCATTATCTTTGGATAAGGCCTATGTACTTTGGCTTAATAAATGATATTGCTTTGTAAAAAGTCAGTAATTCAGAATCCAAAACACATGTTTTAACTAAAAACTGTGGCAACAGCTTGGAAAGATATGACAATGCTATGAATAATATGATTAGCAATGGTCATTAATAACAGAAGAGAGTAGTTTTAATATACAGGAACTTAGAATGTGAAAAAAATCAGAATGAAATCAAGCTAATGAAAAACAATACTTCCACATTTTAAACCTGTGCTTAATACTTGTTTGCATTCTTATATAAGTGAAAATCTAGCTTTAAAAGTTTCAGAACTCATGTTTGTCCCAACTAAAGTGTTCCTTCACAGGTTGGCTAACCTGAACTGATATTCATGGTCACCCACTGCATGCCAGTATTTAACATCTTTAGGAAGACTATACGTAGCCCCCTCCTTTGTGCTTTCTTTGCACCGTACATACCCTAAACTATGTCTGAGTGGTGTTTTCCATACCGTAGCGTGGCAGAAACAAGGTTTTGGCACACGGGAATTTAAGTGACTTCTGAATCAATGCTAAATAGAAAAACATTTGGGTAGGAAAAGTGTTCACTACTGGAATACAATGCCAACATATTTTTACACTTGGGCTGGAATCACTGCCAATGTCTATTGTACATACTAGAGTTCTGAACTAAAAAGTGAATTTTTTAACAAGGAAACATTGTTTACCTTTGGCAGACTGACTGGTGTCCTTGGTTTGGTTCTAGGATTTTTTATCAGCTGTCTCTGATCCAGAGGAAGTAAGTGATATTTCATGGCTTCAATGAGGAAGTCTTTACATGTATTATTATTCTTGATTAAAGCTTCTTCTTCAACTGTCTAAATATGTCAACACAGATTAGTGCAATGGCTGCATTTCACTAATGAACAACAGGTGGTGAACTTTAAAAATTATGTGCCAAGGGAAGTTTGCTTGATCTGTCTTGAAAGATTTAGATGTAATAGTTTTAAGCCACAAGGCATTCTGCCTATTCCACATCTGGTTCATTAAGTGGTTCCCATTCCTTACAATATTAGTTCTATTCAACGGAGCACTGATGCATGTTCTATGCATGAAATTGTGCTACCACCTTATCTAATTCAGTGTTTCCCAACCTCGGCAACTTTAAAATGTGTGGACATCAACTCCCAGCCATGCTGGCTGGGGAATTCTTGAAGTCCTCACATCGTAAAGTTGCCAAGGGTGGCAAACACTGATATCAAGTGAGGGTGGGAAATCCTTCCATCCTCAAGACACACACAGAGTTTTCAGGCACAGAAAAAAAACAGACATGGAAAGCGGCAGCGTGCAGGGTTGGAAAGATCTGAATCACTTTCAAATCCTATAAAAGTGGGGAAGATGGTAGCAACACTGCACAAATTTGGCTTTCAAATGCTGGGATCAGAAAAGATATTCTTCTTTACATTTCAGGAGAGACTGTTCTTTGCTCAGCCTAAACTGTTGCTTAACAGGCTGGGAGGAGTACAGCCTCCAAGGCAAACAATCCACAGAGATGGCCCTTCTTCTGCATCCTTGGTCCCCTCAACAGAAATTGGGAGACAATTATGTGATGCCCACATTGGCCACATAAAAAAAGACTGAATGCTGCCTGTAACTTGTAGGACACCCACATGTATTCTAAGTATTTTATTTTATGTGAACTGAACATAAGATACTTTTCAAAGATACTTAATTATGACATAGTAGTTCTCTTTGGCACAGAAGTT